ATTTTTCTACTTTTTAGTATCCTAAATTGAACGTCTACGATGTGAACAACGTCTCGTACTGCAGTAGCGCATGAGTGCCCGGCCAAACTTTGAAAAAATCTAGCTTCAATGCTTCACGATTCAGGGCAAAAGCTGAATCCTGGATGGGGAATTGTCAAGTTTTTTCCCGTTATTCTTAAAAATTCATATTTCTAGATATATTCAAGAATTCAGCTAGCAGCTGCCATATTTTTTGATCTGCTGAATAAGGTTAAAACATTCGCTGCATTGTTCAGGCTACTGTTTACATGTCTAGCGTGTGTAAGCCGATTGTAGCAATCAGGCTGACCCTGGGAAGCCTAAATGGCGAAGGCACTATAGATTACAGCACGAAAAAACAGTATGAGAAAAGAAGGTAAGAGCGGGATAAGACGTTTCGGTCCATTAAGTCATATACGTCTTAACTCAACACCGCGTGGCAGGACATCGTGATAATATAATGGTCGCAGTGCTGTAAGTTACTACAAAAATGCATGAAAATTCGAAAAGCAAGGATCAGTTCCATCCGGGCCTATTTTTTGCTGAATATCTAAGTCCAAAAATCTCATCTGTGGCCTATTTCTGTTCCCTCTGCTAACCACTGAAAGCAAGTATTTGGTTAAGATGAACTGCAAAATGTGCCTAAGAACAATGAGTATCTGGGAATTGGATTGTGAAAGCGCTTACGGACGGTAGCCAATAAGGACGAAAGCAAAATTCGGGAAAAGCTTCGACTCTCCCAATTCATTCACCGAAAATCGGATTGTCCAACTAAGCAACGATACTGGCTCTAAAAAAAAATTTTTTTTACTTTAAAAGCCATTGCGTATGTTTATACTTTGCTTATGAGATTTCATGCTAAAGATTCAGAATTTGCTTTCACTAACTAATCTTTCCGCCATTCACAGTTCATTCGTTTCGGTGGTAAATTGGTAGCTACATGTTAGAAAATGAGGGTCCTCTTCATTTGCTCACAAGCAAAACCTAAAGAAAACGAAGCCAACGAGTGGTTGCTTTGGCATATGGCTCACCAACGTGTGGTTGCTCGTGGTTCACCAACGTGTGGTTGCTCGTTGGCATATTTCACCACTAGTGGTATTTCCACGCGTCTTACTTCGAAGAAAATTAAAATTTTAAGAGGATTTTGACATTCTAACTGTTTTTCCTGCTTTTTGTTATTTTCATCTTCTCCAGTCATCCCCACGCGCGCAAAAATGGGGTAGCGGATAATAGGTTTAGGCAAAGCGTACAGGAAAAAGTCGTCTCTGAGCTGACAAATCCAAGCATTTTTGCGAAATTCGAGATTTTCAAAATTAATTGGCTCAGAGGCAATTAATTGCCAATAGCAACCACACGTTGATGAACCACGAGCAACCACACGTTGGTAAACCACGAGCAACCACACGTTGGTGAACCACATGCCAAAGCAGCCACTTCGTTAGAACATGAAATCATAAAAATTATTACATATGAAAAATCAAAATGTAAAAAAAAACTCAATTAATTTTAACAAAAGCGAATATTCGAAAACGAAAATGGTTTTTTGCTGAGAATTTTAACCACTTACTGGAATGTTTTTGCACCGGCAATAGAGGCATTTTGAAAACTGCCTGATCATTATCCGGAAAATTCTGTAAGCTCAGCTGTTTCTGGTTACGGCCTAAGCATTTTTGCTGTACAGGGGTGGTAGTGATCGTTCGCCGTGATGCAGCGCTTTCGTCCGGTGGTTCATCGGAATTCATCGAACTATTTCGTTCAGCCAAAAAACCATTTCTTGAAGTTGTTGCAGCTGATGCCTCAAATGATGCCGAAAAGTCAATGGTGGTGCCGGATTTTTCGGCGCTTTCGGTGGTCGCTGTATTCTCTTTTCCAAATTCATCTTCCTCCAAAATTTTCTCAGCAATCACAGAATGCTTTGCGGTTTTTCGTCCACTTTCTACTGCCAAAGCCGGCTTGCCAACGTTAACTTCTAAATCGCCAAGAACTGGAAAAAAAAGAGCAAAATTCGTAAACAAAAAAGAAAAAAAAAACAAATAAACTGCGGTTTTTCGATGAAAAGGAAAATAGTGATGTTTAGAGAAAAGTGGGAAAGCTACCAGGGTAAGAGCAATAACCATGTGAAAACCTCTGTAGTGCTGTGTAGAGAAAATCAGGAAAAAACTATTTCTTTGAAAAAACTGGAAAGATTCAATAAAACTGCTACAGAAGTAAATAAATTTCGAAAATAGCCCAAAAATTTTGCGTCAGGATCACCCTAAGAAGTGATGGCACGCGTATAAAAAGAAGAATTATGGAAGCATACACAATCGGAAGAAGAGGGCTGATAATAAATTTGTGTTCAGCGTGTGGCCGAATCTCAAGCAACACCCTATGTCGAGGAAACGGTGACCGTCCACGGTTTTTTTTTAATTTTAAGATTCGCAGCCCTTCAATGGCCGTAATTTATTATTCATTTTATAGTACAAAATTGCTGAATCATCGCCAAAACTGCAATTACTTTGTTTTTTCCCTGAAGCAATTTACAAAAACAGCGTTCGGCCGTAATAATATGTGCTCAGGTTGCGTACATAACTCCCAAAAGAATCGAAAATTTTCGAAAAAAAGTGCTATAATCACCGTTTTACAAAGGCACCGTTCGAACGTAGTAATATATGTTCAGGTCTCGTACATAACGCCCAAGAGAGTTAAAAATTTCTGAGCAAAACGTTAAGCTCGTCCCCCACCCTTCCCCCCTCCTCAATACTTACCGCTTCCAAATATCGAGGAGTTACGAAAACCAGCGCCACCGGACAGTCTCGAGATATCGAGGAACAGATTGTTGAGCCGACTGGAATACTGGTGCTGCGAGACAGTGTTCGGCAGGATCACAGTGCTGTGGTATTTCTGCAACAACTCATACCATTCATAAGGGAAACCATCCCGGAATCGTTCGATCAGCGTTTTCGGATATCCTGCAAACAACAGCTTCAGCCTGGTTATCATCCTATGCAGAACACGGTAATGAGTTTCGAGAACAAAATGCATCGTAGTGGATTTCGAATATCGAAAAAAAAATCAAAAAAAAAAAAAACGGAAGAAAAAAAGGACAAAATTTTGAGTGCTGCTAATACCCTTTAAGCAAATAAAATCCTGGTCTAAATAAAAGTAGAACTGTTTTTTTTTAACTAGAAAAACAACAGAACCGGAAATTACACACGCATACACGCACATACACACACACCACACACACATATGTACATCACACACGAACACACACAATATGCACACAAACAACACACAAACCTATACACAAACACCCACAAGCACGCAACATACATATACACATCACGCACACACACCACACACACACACACACACAGCACACACACACCACACGCACAGCACACGCAAACACATACACAGACAAACACACACAAACATACATACACATCACACACGCACATACACACACACACACACGCTACACATATAACACACAAATACACCACACACACACACACCCACACCACACATACAACACACACACACAAAACATACACACACAAATATACGCACACACACACACACATACACACACAAGCGCACACATACCACACACACATACACACGCAAACATACGCACACACCCACCCACACACACATATGTGATCTACATAAAATCACAAGAAAAGTAGTAACTATTAGCAGAAAAGTCTAAAAATTTGCCAAGAATGATACCGAGTGCATAAGCAGAATCCTGGTCAATGACACCGCTGAGAATGTACTTCGAGCCGGTCACCGTTATCAGTGTTAACGAGTTGTAACGTTCGGCGATCGCCGTGCTACGCCAATTTTCGAGCTCACGCTCCCCGCTGTCTTTCTTCCGATAACCCTCCACACATACAGCACATCGATCATCATCGCTTCGGATAAACTGCAATTTTAGAAACTTTTTAAATTTCAGAAAAAAACGAATAATCGATGGGCAAGAAATGCACCCTGAAATCAGTACAATATATGTAAAGGTAAGATAGATTTTCTGCATTGCATAGCTGCAAAAACCACATGATTTTATACAGATAATAATAATAACAATAATAATAGCAATAATCATAACAATAACAACGATAATAATCATGATAACAACAGTTTTGACATAATAATCACGATAAAATTAATACCTAACAATATGATTGAAGTGTTAGCAATAACAGATAATAATGATACCTTGTTTTATTCGTTTTTTTTTTCTTTCGTCAGAAAAAAAGTGGATTCAAAAAATTTACAAAACGATAACAAACCCTGAAAATCCAAAATTTTAATTCTGTTGTTGTCTCTTTACTGCGTTCTGCATCCATACGCCCGACCAATCCTGAAATACACAAAAAAAGGAAGCAAATTTCATGAACGAAAAAAAAAAGCTTATTACATTCATGTCTCGCGCACAGCATCGAGTTTCAATGAATCTACATGGACAAGGAGGATCATCCATTGGCGAATTAAAGAGGCACGGCTAATGGAATGGTCAGTTCCACGAAACGGGCGCATATCGGGACGGGATTGGGTGCTTATCCACAGTGTGTGCTTATGCATTGTGTGCTGGTTATGTGCATTGGGATCTGGTCATTATGCGTTTTGACATATATGCAAAAACATATATTGTGACGACCCCGGTGTGTGTGTGTGTGTGTGTGTATGTGTATGTGTATGCGTCTGTCCTGGTATTTCAACTCGGCACTCAAGCAAGCTTCGGCGCCAAGATTTTGCGAGTGGGTAGCGTGGATAATTAATTTTGCCTGTCCAAGTATAGCGTGGGCAATTAACTTCCCGAAATTCGAGGACCAGTATGTACAAGAGGTTTCTAGCTAGCAGAATTTCGAGTGATCTTATTACAGCACGAAACACTGCAAAAACGCATAATCGCCCGCCCAGTGCGCGTCGCCAATGATTGTTTGTTATAAAAAAAGAAATTGAGAGAGGTTTTCGACCGAGAAACGGCTTTTGGTTCGGCTGCTGCTTTTTTAAGCCCCACTTTCGCGACAATTGGTACGATATGTTTAGCACTTTCCCCCGAAAAAAAAAACGACGATGGACAGCTGTAAGTTCCAAGAAAAGCCGAAAGCTGGTGGGATTCGGTTGCGAAAAAAAAAAATTTTGTGGAGTACGATCAAGAAAGTAGTGAAATATGCAAATTTTTGTTGTTACGCAATGAATGGCGCTTCATGAGCAGCTACCCCAGCCGGATCATACGAAAGCCGAGAGCAAAATGGGACAAACAGCGACAGCCTCATTCTTTAAATACTAATAAACCCGGGCTGGAAAACACCAGGCGAGCCAGTGTGATCATACGTTTTTGCACCAAACTTGAAGTAATTAGGTTGTTAACTGCATGAACGGTTCTTATGCGTTTTTACATAAATGTAAATTGCAAAAACGTAGACACACACACACACAGGTAGCCCCTTCCCAATATGCGTATTGGGAAGAGGCTGTGTGTGTGTTTGTGTATGTCTACGTTTTTGCACCAAACTTGAAGTAATTAGGTTGTTAACTGCATGAACGGTTGTTTCTTCACACCTACCTTGTGCGCTCAATACCGTAAATCATCGTAAATTTTCGTTGTGTTTCACTCATTCAATTGGGTTTATGCAAAATAACACTGCTGAGGGGCGGGGGGATATCAAAACAGCATGTATCAAAACGATTGAGTTGTCCCGATTTACAGGGCCCGGGCCAGAGACGGACAAAGCGGATTATTGAATGGCATCCATGCAAAACTGAAAGGAAAGTGGGAAAGCTAGCAATTTAAACTTTAGAAATTTTATGGTTATGGAAAACGTCGTAAAAAAATAAAAGTAAAAACAAAAAAAAAAATAAAAATGAGAACTGAACTGGAATATTTCGGTCCATCAATGGTCGCATACATTCCCCCATTCAGCAAGGAAGCAAGAAATTAAGGGATAAAATAGAT